CTCGCTCAGACACCTCAGCACACAGATCTGTCAGGCTTGCCTCACCATTGATCTCCCAGCGGCTGCCGCAAAGCACCCTGGGAAACACAGCTGGACTGGTTAACCCCACCCCCAGCACGTGTAGAGCCCCCTCCCTGTCATTTCCACTGTACCCCAAACCACATGGTGTTCTATGTGATGAAGAGGGGGGGCATTTACAGTACGTGTGACTCAACGGGGAAGCAGCGAGTTTTACAGACTTGTGAACACTTTGGTTATTATAAGTGCTGTGAATTCACAGCCAGAAAGCTGCTTCGCATATGTCTGTTTGATGCCGTGTGATTAAGAGCTTTCACTCTTTATTCCGTGCCTTCATTTTTCTCTGCATGCACAGAGACTGAGGCACTGGGCAGATTGTTTTGATTAGTGGCTGTTTTTACTCTAGTCGGGATCTTTGGTATGGGTGGCATCTTTTCTCTTTCAGTCTCTCTGTCTCTCTCTCGCTGGCGCCGGAGCACAGTTGTGTAACTGGAGGATCATCACAGAGTTCAAGAGCTCTCCTGAGCTTTAGCCAGGTTGTCTTCATCTTTGCTCACTCACACATTCACACACACACACACACACACACACACACACACACACACACACACACACACACACACACACACACACACACACACACACACACACACACACACACACACACACACACACACACACACACACACACACACACACACACACACATAAACACACCGTCTGCTCAGCTCCAGTGTTTTCCTTGTCTTCTCTCACCTCTATTTCTTTCTTGTTCTGTGTCAGACACTGAGCTGTTTACATAATCGCTCAAAATCAGAACCAGATCTTGAAGGGATGGTTCACCAAAAATGATAATTCTGTCAGCATTTACTTAAGCTTGTGTCATTCTTCTGTGGGACACAACAGGAGACGTAAAGCAGAATGTTCACCCTGCTATTTCATTGAAAGTGAATGGTGACTAGGCTCTTTAACAATAGCAGATGGAGTCATACCATAGCTTTGTGTGCGAAACAAAACCAAAATGAGCTCTCAAAGCTTATTTGTGCAGTTTGAATGTGCACATTTGGTCAATAATGTGGTCGTATTTGGTCAAAAATGTCATCTTCTAATACACTCTTAAAAATAAAGATTCTTTATTGGTATTCATTGGCAACAAAATCACCCTCAAAGCTTATTTGGTCAATTGTGTGGTCAAATTTGCTCAAAAATTTGGTCTTCTCTTCAAATAGTCTTAAAAAGGACGGTTTGTTTTTTTCTGGCATCTATGGTTTCATTAAGAACCTTTAACATCCATGGAAACTTTCCATTCAACAGAAGGTTCTTTATAGTAGAAAAAGGTTATTTACAATATAGACAATGTAATACGATAGCTTTGTGTGAGGAACAAACCCAAAATGAGCTCTCAATGCTCAATAATGTGGTCACATTTGTTCAAAAATTTGGTCTTCTCCTCATACACTCTTAAAAATAAATGTTCCTTTATTGGCATCTATGGTTCAATGAAGAACTTTATCAGCCATGGAGCCATTCCATTCGACAAAAGGTTCTTTATAGTGGAAAATGTTTCTTTAGATTATTTAAATGTTCTTTACATTAAGAAAAAAAATGGTTCCTTTAAGAACTGAAAAGTTCTTTAGGGATCAAGAGTGGTTCTTTTGTGGCATTGCAACAAAAACCCTGTATTGGAACCTTTATTTTTAATAGTGCATATTTTTTAAATACTTTTGAAAACTTGGAAAATAGCACAGAAATCTACTTTAATGATGCTTTATGGTCATTTTGTTATCATTGGAGCTTGATGGTCCATTTTCATTGTATGGAAAAGAGCAGCGCTAACATTCTGTTAAACATCTTGTTTTGTCTTCCATGCAAGCAAGAAAATAATACGGGTTAGGATGACATGAGTGTGAATAAACGATGACAGAATTTTAATTGTTTCACCGATCTGCCAGCACTGGCAACCACTCTGCTAATATAAGTCGGTACAAATCTGCAAAGCTTGTATGAAGACAGCATCCAGATTCTGAAACCCAGCAGAAGCTGGATGCTCGGATTCTATTCATGCGTGCCAGTGATGTCATAATTTACCAACCATAGCTGGCAGCGGAACAGATGGCATAGAATAGACCGACAGAGAGAGAACGTGCCCATTTAAGGTCACATTGAAATGTGTATTATTTGCACAAGTTTCAGGCAGAGTGAGTAATGTATAAGCAACGCATATGTGATATATGTAAGCACACTTATCTATAAGACTCAACTGCTTTTACAGGTTTTATTGGTCACAGTCTGAGGTGACCTCCTGGAGAGGATAGAAGTGGCTCTTAATTCAAAAGACCTCACAGGACTCTTTAAAAATAAAATAAAATCACAGGCACTGGTGTTTATGCACGAGCTCTGGCAACGCAAAAAAAATTGTATGCATATTTTTCTTAGCACCTACAAAGAGCTTAATGCATACTGATAAGCATGAGGCATCAGTCATGTATTACACTAGCATTGCGAAGGGTTGCGCTGCGATTGCATAGACCTTGTGCTAGTTTTACTGTCTCTGTTCATTTCTTGCTAAAGTGCGCCACCATGTGATAAGATGCAGTAACAGAGTCAGGACTTTCAATTGTGAATGCAAAGTGTGCAATAGAAATTGACTATTTTTTAAATAAATAATAATAATAGTTGTTGTTGTTGTTGTTTTGTTATCATTATTAGGTAGCTACATTTACACATTTGGTAGTTCTTTTTTTTTAATTCAAAATGACTTGAGAAAATCTTTTAGTTTATTTAGTCAATTGCAATGTAATTTTATTTTGTGTTTTCTGATTAACAATTAACGTGATAGCTTACAGAATATAATTATTTTAAAAATTAAATCCAGTTTTCATTAGTTAAATATATTAGGTCTATTTTTGGCCTTTAGTTTCATAAACCCTTAAAAAGAAAGCTTCTTTATTGGCATCTGTGAAGAACCTTTAACATCCGGAAATCTTTCCATTCCACAAAAGGTTCTTTATAGTGAAAAAAGGTTCTTTAGATTTTTTTTTTTAATGTTCTTCACACTAGGAATTTAAAAAATGTTCTGTTCACAGAAAGGTTCTTTGGGGAACCAAATATGGTTCTTCTATGGCATTGCTGTTAAAACCCCCTTTTTGGAACCTTTATTTTTTTAAGAGTTTGGGAACTTATTTTTAAACAGTACAGTACATTTTGGTCGGTGTAGTAAAGATTACAGTATGGTTTATTTTATATTGTTTTATTTTTATTTTAGATTCTCAGTTTGTTGTAATTACTTAATCAGTGCACCAGGGGGAGCAAACAGCATTTACTACTAATGAATGTGAACTCAAATTAACCACTAACCATATCATGCTTAAAAATAAGCCAATCTATTAGACATTATTTGATTTTTTTATACAATTTTCCTAATCATTGTCCAATAAATCCTAGTATTTGAAATTCTTATACACGTTGATTTTGATATTGCATTTACAAAAACTGAAGAAACCACATGAGTACAGTAACGATACAGTAATTATAAACTCCGCATAGTGCAAAGTAAAATAAATAGAGTTTATTGCTCACTGTGCGTCAGGGTTCCAGAGTGAGGGAGGGACATGGAGACGAGCCCAGGTCTGCGATGGGAGGCGTAAAGGTGATGGCTGGGCGTGTGGATTAGAGGAGATGAAAGGGTCCGGAGAGGCCCTTTATCATGCACAGACTGCTCGGAAATTGAGTGGCGTCTCTCACACCAATTCTGACATGTCTGTAGGACGGCACTCAAAAGAGAGGTGTGGGGGTGATGCTGGAATGGCACAGGGCTCTCTACAATTCCCAAACCTCTCCAAGAGTCTGGAGCTGTAAAACACTCATTGTATTTGCATTCCTTACACCGCACTTCTGAAGGATAGGGTGCAATGTGGCTGTTTATGTCTGCAGTGTTGGTTATCAGCTGTAAATTCGTCTAAAAAGGCTGTGATGATAAAACTTTCCCCACATTATAGCACGGTTTAAGTCTTGGTTCCTGAAGTGTGAGTGGATATCTCATGCCCAAGTGCGTTCAATGCAACTGCGACTTTTATGTGCAAAGTGATTTAGAGGGTAGCAGGAGTTGAACTGTCAAAGATCACATGCGTGGCTTTTATTCCTCATGTCAAACCGGGATTTTTTTTGTTTGCCCTTTGTTCGGATTTATTGCGGTAAACTATAGAGCTAAAAAGAATGGAGTTTATACGCATGTGAACTTTGATGGAAGAATTATATTTTCCAAGCCGTTAACTCTTTTATTCCATCTCCCTCTGTGAACTTTTGACTTTTTGATTTTCATGGCTTGAAATGCTCCGCGAGTATCTCAAGCTCCTCTTAATACATGCGCTATGTCGTAATTTACCATGAGTGCAAAACTCGCTCTTGCGCACCGGAGAATCAACGCTCTGCTACGAATCGGATTCTCATCTGCTGCCCTCTTGTGTTGTTTGGCCTCCCCAAATTCCTCACCAGTTCCTCGGCTCCCCTCGCGCTCCTCCTCCTCTCCATTGTATCCGCGTTAAAACGAAGGGGGTGCGGAGAAGTGCGAGCAGAAGGAAGGAGGGTTATGTTGTGCCATCGGAGCGCAGCGGTGTTAGTTCATATCGAGAGAACCGGCAGAGACAGAGGGGGAGAGAATTTGGACTATCACCACATAGTTGCACTTATGTCTTTTTCTTCGTTCGTTTTAACTTCCATCCGTGTGCCGCTTATATCCATTACGCACCGACATCCACTTTCGTTCTGTTTTATGAAGCGGAGTTTGAAAAGAACATTCTTAACAGATGTCAGACTCCGTTAGTGCCTCAGGTCACCTAGGTGTTTTACTCACAGCTGGTGTTTAAAACTGAGCTGGGGCGAAATTGAGGGGATTCAGAGGCACTGTACTTTTTTTTTTTTAAGTTACTAAAGGAAGCAGCTCCTCCAAGTGGATTACTATCATTTCCTAAATGTTTCCCCAGAGGAGGCTCTTCGTGTTTCCATTTCTTGGACGAGAAAGGATGGATGTGAGAATGAACCAAGGACACCTACTTTTGGCAGTGACCCTCATCGTCTGCAACTCTCGGCTGCTGGTGGTCGCCACCTCATGGTGGTAAGATCAGATCTATTTGCAAACTAATCTGAGTTACATATCTATATTTCTAAAGAATATCATATCGAGTTAAACGTGTTTGTGAAGGATGAAACAATGCATAAGAAAACTATTAGCTGAGAACAAATGTGGAGGCTTTGTCACAATATTTACCTTGAGCAACAAATGGTCAAACTGTTTGTAAATAAGGGCATTCAAGGCAACATGTCCTGAGGACAACAGGTTTTTCCAACAGTTTTCAATTTGATAATAGGTTACGGACACCATTTATGCCACGCAATCCTTAACTTAATGTCACAAACAATGAATTTGCTTGAAATTAAACTGGTTCATGATTATTGCAGTGAATAACAGGTTTAGAGTTTGACTTAGTGACAAAATAATTCTTGCTACTATATTTTATTGCGTTCTCCAAAAAAAAAAAACAGCAGACTCCACATAAGTATAGCCTAATGAAGTTTTACACTATAAATAATGACTGTGTGTCATGTACGCTGTAGGTTAGTTGTGCATATTCAAGTATACACTGTTTTTGGCTGATGGTCAGTGCTTTGGTCTTACTTTCTAAGGTCATTAGCCATGAACCCCATCCAGAGACCGGAGATGTACATCATTGGGGCACAGCCTCTGTGCAGCCAGCTGACAGGCCTGTCTCAGGGTCAGAGGAAGCTCTGCCAACTCTATCAGGACCATATGGTTTATATCGGAGAGGGCGCAAAGACGGGCATCAAGGAGTGTCAGTATCAGTTCAAGCAGAGGCGATGGAACTGTAGCACGGTGGACAACACATCCGTGTTCGGCCGAGTCATGCAGATAGGTGAGTCACTGTGATGATGCAATGTATATGCACTCAAAACAAGTATCTGAATTGATTAATTGCGCAACAATAAAGCATGCAGCTTTTGAATGCATGCCTGCTTTGATATTTCAGACCACCATGTAATTTTGAATTAGAAGGGCCTACAAATAGTTAATGTATTTTGTTCAGAGTTGTCAACTATTAATTAAGTTCTTGATTTCATGTGGCTGGTGTAAATAGTCACATCACCGGCTGTTTAATTCTAGTTCATCATCTGAAAGATGATGTCTGTGTCAAAGCTACATAAAAATAATTTATAAAACATATATGTACATCTGCCATATTTGGTAGATATATTGTTTAAGGGTCTATTATTGTTTTTTAATGTTCTTTTTAAGACTGCTTTGTCATATGAATCATGATCACAATTCATGTGAACATAGCAGTAGTCACATTTATAAAAATAAAGACTCTTTTTCATTTTCAGCCAACTTATTGATTCACAAGTATTTTTAGTTTAAATGGAACAATAGGCCAGTGGGCCTATTATGGTACTTTGTTTGCAACTTTTTATTGAGCAACTGGGCAGTTTTTAAAATGCATTAAAAATAAATAACGCATATAAATGCATACTTTACCAAACTTTTTTGATAAATGTACTGTTTTGTTTAGTTGTGGTAGTCTACATGTAAAGTGTTAATGGTGCGTGCTCAGCGTGCACTGAACAGCTCCGCGTGAGATTTAAGCGCTGTGCTCTTGACATCAGTTTTGTGATTTTCATATAACATTGTTTATTTAAAATAATTGGTGCTCTATATTAGTTTATGCATGCATGTTTGCATTCGTTCAGATCTTTTATACAGTATATTTAAATGAAGAAAGTTTCCCTAGATAGTGTCAGTCTTTCATGTAACCTGTAAGCAGCCTGTAGGCTACTTAAATCGAATGCATGCTCGTTTGCGTGTCGATCTCTCACAGAAAACGGCGCTCTTTGCCACAATTGAGTGTTAGTTCCGCTCAGCAGTGAAACAGGGTGTAAGACGCGACAATCGCAAGGTTTATATTGAGGTGTTAGTCGGGCCATTGTCCAGCGTCGCTTTTGAAATGCAATGACACGATGACACAGAGTCGGGATATCCGGGACTTTATTTGAAGTCTGGGCACCAAAGGCCAATAAAAGTGGCCCTCCAAATTCAATAGGCGCATCTCTGGAATGCAGGTACACACCCGTTTACACGCGCCGCTTTGTGTGTTTGATGCTGTGAAACCGTCTATCTATCTAAACTTTATTCTACAGTATAGCTATAAAAATAAGTAATTTGATCTATATTTTTACATATTAAAAATAGAGTTGCAACTCTGACCCATAAAATCAATTATTGTAAAATTGACAAGTGTGGAGTGAATCATTAACATTATAAGTTTCATGCTCCTGTCGTATATTTTTGTGCTTTTTAATACATAAAACAAACAGTTACTTGTGGTCCGTCTAATCAGGGGCAAGTTCACTTTCATTAAGGCATTGAGGAAGGCCGGATCATTAAAAATGAGTTCTCAGGGCCTGGCGTTAAAAAAACGTTTTGTTTGACAAAATTCCTCTCATAATTACTGTGTCGCTGAGCATTGATACAAAGTGCTTATCTCTAAATATCGTTGTACCAGCACTTTTTAACATGTTTAAACAGCTTTTAAACGTTAAACGCTATTAACTGTATTGCCTGTGCTGTTGAGGTATGTGAAATCTGCATTCCAGATGGCTTAATAGATGGGGGAAAAAATCAGGTAACACATGCACAACAGATGCGAAAAAGAGCACACATTTTTATAAACCTAGCGCCTCTTTGGCAGGAAAGCTTTGCGGGTTATCATATGCCTCATATCAAGTGTACCAACATTGGAAAACCTGTCAGTTCTTTTTTCGCTTGCATTTCAGTATATATCCATTGAGATATACTGTATATAACAATGGAGCAATGAATCAGTGCTGTCTATGTACATGCACACGTTTCTGATAATCTTATCTCTCACTGCAGGGCTTACCAAAAAGATTGTTACCATCTGTGGGGTTCTGGAAATGAGTTGTTTTACTCTTTGCCTTACTTCCTAAGTGAATAATCAAGAAAAATAGTGTACTGAAGATTTGTGGATGATTTAAGAAAGTGATTTGCAGCCGGTGGAATGTTGTCTGTGTCCTAATTATGTGTTTGTGTGTGTGTCTTCTGCAGGCAGCAGAGAAACAGCTTTTACTTACGCCATCAGCGCAGCGGGTGTTGTGAATGCAGTGAGTCGGGCGTGCCGTGAGGGTGAGCTTTCCACCTGCGGCTGCAGCCGAGCGGCTCGTCCCAAAGACCTCCCGAGAGACTGGCTATGGGGCGGCTGTGGGGACAATGTCAACTATGGCTACCGTTTCGCGCGGGAGTTTGTTGACGCCCGTGAACGAGAGAAAAACTACCCGCGTGGATCTGTCGAACATGCACGCACGCTTATGAACCTACAGAACAATGAAGCCGGGAGAATGGTGAGGAAATAAACACACACGTCAGTCAATGATCTACTGATAGATGGAAATGATTGGATAGTAAACAAGCATCTCCACAGTATATCTTGACCCATTCTGTGGGCGTTAAATCAACCATGATCCACCTAATTTAATTTTGTGCAAGAGTCTACAGTGCATTGGTTTGGTTAAGGTGTGTTTCTTCAGTGTGTAGGGAATGAATCACAACTGTTGCAACCTCTATTGTGATATTGAGAAATAAGAGCCCAGATGTACACTTAAACGGATAAACACAGCTTTAGATATGTTTGTGTGTGAATAAACCGAAGGCAGCCCTTATGTCTCCTGCAGATCACCACAAACACAATAACAAACACAGTTACCTCATCCTCCTCTGTTGTTGAGTGAACGTGTTTGCTTAGCAATACTTTGGGTCCACAATTGTAATTACTGTTAGAAGTTAGCTAAATCTGACAAAACTTTCCTTTGCAGATGTTCTCAAAGGTAAAATTATTCATAATTTTTAAGGGGTGGGGTTAGTGTGTGGCCTGTAGTAATTATATTTATCTTTTAGGGGATGTGCAGTAACATATTTTCACAGCTGATTGGTCAGTGAGTTGCCTGAACAACTAGTCAGTTCATTTGTCTTAAGGAAGCCCTTTATAGTTAAGATCCATTCACATTTGCCATTGTTTGGTGAGTTTTCGCAGGTTAAATCCAGGCAGTTTAATAGGAATCCATGCGATTGGGAATTTTATGAGATTTCCTCAAATCTCATCAAATTCATTAAGATTGTTGACCTACAAAAAGCTGCTTGATTCACCTGACTCTGATTAGATGTGTTACTTTTCATAAGACAAAATAAGCTAGACCAAGTGTAACAGAATGGAAATGAATGGAGGGTTCTGAAGGCACATTTTTATCTTGATGGAAATGGATCCTAAAAACGTAATCCTTGTGGCAGGACACTCAAAAACAGTGTGAGAAATGATGCAATGGCTGAAGACATCCGTCTCGCTGTGTTTTAAAGTTGATAAATTTCAAGTTGTTTTTCCAACAAGTTTTTCCAACAATTTCAATGGTTTGTTTCCCAAAGAATGCAAACTGATAAAAGTTGCTTTGGATAAAAGGCTTAGATGTAAGTAAAACTGGCTGTCTAGCAGCATACACAAATCTGGAAAAAAGCTTGTTTACCTGATTAGTAGGTTGTTGGATGATTAGTCAGTCATCAAGACTTTAACTTTGGGTTTATATAAAAATAACTGTAGTCTGTGGCATCTCTTCATTTAGATTACAGGCTAGGGAGAGAGCTAATTTAATGGAAGTGACCAAATGGCGCCCATGCAAAGGCTAGCACCCTTGGAGTCTGCTGGGGGTCAGGAAGTCAGAGCGCCACCAGGGATGATGGGACTGCTAAACCATTCCATGTTTCAGTCATTCAGCATGTAGCTCAGATTGCCATCCAATCTTCCTTTGATTAATTTAATGGAGTAGTCAATGCCAGAATAAATTTTTTGTGTGTGTGTGTGTTTTTTTTATAAGGTGATGTGTGGTAAATATGTTTAGTCAGGAACACTCTGACACTGCATATTTTCTTGTTGAACGACTTCTCGCTGTTTTATAGAACAGCTATACGGTGGAGGGATTATTGGAGCGTTTCCAACTATGTGAGTGTGTGTGTGTGTCTGGCTCCAACAAACTCTGGCCCCCCTGCCACGTTCAGGTGGGCATAAAACCCTCTCATAGAACGCACTGCAGAATGTCACCACATCCTGCCAAAACACGCCATCAAGCTGGAATGCGTTCCTCCATTCCTTTGCGAGTCCCACGCTTTGTCATACCACCCCAATCCCATCCTCTTTCCCCTCAGTTATTTGAGTGCTTTTAAAACGAAGCGGCCTCATAAAAAGTCCATTTGCCTGCCGATGTGGGTGCTTGTCGTGCGCAGAGCTCAGCCGCATATGTTTGTCTTAGAGAAGATGAGTGTATTTAAAGTGTTTACAGAAGAGAGGGCCTCTTTTCTGGAGTTATGGCAAATCTGAGATGATCCCTGGCTCTTCTCCTGGAGGTTCCCAGAGGTGAGGAGGTCAAGGTCTGGATGGGTTCTGTACGTTCATGAGGGCGAGATTATATCTCGACCACCCTCAATTGAATCCTTTCTGTTCTTTTTTGAGTTATTGGCACCTGCTTTTTTGGTGGAGGTGGATTTGAAGGTGTGGTGTGACCCTCGAGACTCCCGCCTCCCTGGCGTTCCCTTTCTGCGGGGCCTGTTTGCCGGAGATTTGTCTTGCTTGGAAAGGCTTAGTCTTGGTGGGCTTTTGTGGAGGCGACAGAAGCGTATCGGATGCCCCTCGGTGTGGAGTCGGGGCAGGTGGGGGGGATTAGGGAATGAATCACAACTGTTGCAACCTCTATTGTGATATTGAGAAATAAGAGCCCAGATGTACACTTAAACGGATAAACACAGCTTTAGATATGTTTGTGTGTGAATAAACCGAAGGCAGCCCTTATGTCTCCTGCAGATCACCACAAACACAATAACAAACACAGTTACCTCATCCTCCTCTGTTGTTGAGTGAACGTGTTTGCTTAGCAATACTTTGGGTCCACAATTGTAATTACTGTTAGAAGTTAGCTAAATCTGACAAAACTTTCCTTTGCAGATGTTCTCAAAGGTAAAATTATTCATAATTTTTAAGGGGTGGGGTTAGTGTGTGGCCTGTAGTAATTATATTTATCTTTTAGGGGATGTGCAGTAACATATTTTCACAGCTGATTGGTCAGTGAGTTGCCTGAACAACTAGTCAGTTCATTTGTCTTAAGGAAGCCCTTTATAGTTAAGATCCATTCACATTTGCCATTGTTTGGTGAGTTTTCGCAGGTTAAATCCAGGCAGTTTAATAGGAATCCATGCGATTGGGAATTTTATGAGATTTCCTCAAATCTCATCAAATTCATTAAGATTGTTGACCTACAAAAAGCTGCTTGATTCACCTGACTCTGATTAGATGTGTTACTTTTCATAAGACAAAATAAGCTAGACCAAGTGTAACAGAATGGAAATGAATGGAGGGTTCTGAAGGCACATTTTTATCTTGATGGAAATGGATCCTAAAAACGTAATCCTTGTGGCAGGACACTCAAAAACAGTGTGAGAAATGATGCAATGGCTGAAGACATCCGTCTCGCTGTGTTTTAAAGTTGATAAATTTCAAGTTGTTTTTCCAACAAGTTTTTCCAACAATTTCAATGGTTTGTTTCCCAAAGAATGCAAACTGATAAAAGTTGCTTTGGATAAAAGGCTTAGATGTAAGTAAAACTGGCTGTCTAGCAGCATGCACACATCTGGAAAAAAGCTTGTTTACCTGATTAGTAGGTTGTTGGATGATTAGTCAGTCATCAAGACTTTAACTTTGGGTTTATATAAAAATAACTGTAGTCTGTGGCATCTCTTCATTTAGATTACAGGCTAGGGAGAGAGCTAATTTAATGGAAGTGACCAAATGGCGCCCATGCAAAGGCTAGCACCCTTGGAGTCTGCTGGGGGTCAGGAAGTCAGAGCGCCACCAGGGATGATGGGACTGCTAAACCATTCCATGTTTCAGTCATTCAGCATGTAGCTCAGATTGCCATCCAATCTTCCTTTGATTAATTTAATGGAGTAGTCAATGCCAGAATAAATTTTTTGTGTGTGTGTGTGTTTTTTTTATAAGGTGATGTGTGGTAAATATGTTTAGTCAGGAACACTCTGACACTGCATATTTTCTTGTTGAACGACTTCTCGCTGTTTTATAGAACAGCTATACGGTGGAGGGATTATTGGAGCGTTTCCAACTATGTGAGTGTGTGTGTGTGTCTGGCTCCAACAAACTCTGGCCCCCCTGCCACGTTCAGGTGGGCATAAAACCCTCTCATAGAACGCACTGCAGAATGTCACCACATCCTGCCAAAACACGCCATCAAGCTGGAATGCGTTCCTCCATTCCTTTGCGAGTCCCACGCTTTGTCATACCACCCCAATCCCATCCTCTTTCCCCTCAGTTATTTGAGTGCTTTTAAAACGAAGCGGCCTCATAAAAAGTCCATTTGCCTGCCGATGTGGGTGCTTGTCGTGCGCAGAGCTCAGCCGCATATGTTTGTCTTAGAGAAGATGAGTGTATTTAAAGTGTTTACAGAAGAGAGGGCCTCTTTTCTGGAGTTATGGCAAATCTGAGATGATCCCTGGCTCTTCTCCTGGAGGTTCCCAGAGGTGAGGAGGTCAAGGTCTGGATGGGTTCTGTACGTTCATGAGGGCGAGATTATATCTCGACCACCCTCAATTGAATCCTTTCTGTTCTTTTTTGAGTTATTGGCACCTGCTTTTTTGGTGGAGGTGGATTTGAAGGTGTGGTGTGACCCTCGAGACTCCCGCCTCCCTGGCGTTCCCTTTCTGCGGGGCCTGTTTGCCGGAGATTTGTCTTGCTTGGAAAGGCTTAGTCTTGGTGGGCTTTTGTGGAGGCGACAGAAGCGTATCGGATGCCCCTCGGTGTGGAGTCGGGGCAGGTGGGGGGGATGAAAGGGTATAGTGAAAGATGGTGCGTGTGGTTCCAGCCCTGTGGGTCACAAAGGCCTGTGACCCAGACTGTACCCAGAGAGGAGGCCTACACCCTTTATAAAGATCACCTGCTTCTGTGTGTCTTTCATTCTAAATCAACTGCAGCGGAGATAAACACACACACGCCTTAATCTAAAGCAATTTATTACTCACTCAAACACACATGTAGGTGTAACGCATTTTAATACACTGGTAAGGCTTTCGGTCTCCCTCATTCAGTGAATTTATCTGCATTACTAATGTTTGAATGCTTTTGTATTCACAGACACGCATGTTTACTTAGCTATCTAAATGAGGATGTACCATATTCTTCTCTTGTTTTTTATCTATGCAACCAGTCAAGAGTGATGTTTCTTATGATCTTATTAAACTTATGATCTGAAGACATATTATTAAGTGCCTGAAATTGGTTTGCTGACAAATAGGATTGGAATAAAATGAAGTTATTTACAAAACTACACAAAAACAGATGAGTTTAGACTGAATAGTGAAGGAAAAGCGGCTAACAAGTGTCCAGCATACATGGGAACTTCTTCAAGACTGTTTAAGAAGCTGAAATCTGGGCAACTAAACTAAAATAAAATAAAAATAATCAACTAGCAACAGCAAACACCAGTTATGTACATTGTAAACAAACCATAACAAAATTATGCTTAATAACTGTAAAAGAATGATAGTTTATTTTTTCAAAGTTATACATAAAACAGGGATTATTGGGTATGTTTTACTAGAAAGTTTTATTTCAGTCTTTCTACTTAAAAATTTCACGTTGAATTCAATTATTTGTGAAATGTTCTAGCAATTACTGAGTGATTTTTTTTTTCAAGTAAATCCTACTTTTTTTTAGTGTAAAGACTATAAATTAATGGATAAACATTAAAAAGTTAAAGTAAAATTAATAAGCAAATAAGTCAAATTTGCTTGATAATTAAATAGTAAATTAATAATAATTTTTACCTCTGAGGACAGTAGTAAACCACAAATACATTGTCGTGGCCTTGAAAACTGCTAAATTTTCTTAGCATAGCTCAGAGAGATTTCTATTTGTTTACTTTAGATTCTTTTTCCAGTCCCGCGTCTCTTATCTCTACACCTCCAGTGATGGTTGTTTGCCGTCTCCACACTCCGCCCCGACCCTGCCCAGCAGCCGACCCTGACCCTGTCTGAGCGTGCTCCATTGTGCACAGCACCGCATGCGTGTCCCTTCCACGCACCGAAGAGCCTGTCTATCCATCACACCTTGGTCACTTGGGGCAAAAAGAGAATAAAGAGAGAAAAGGGGGGCGCGAAAAGGAGATAGATGAAAGTGAGGACGAATAAAAGAGCGAAATGGCAGCTTTTATGTGAACACAGTTTCAGTTGGGCGCACATGTTGCATAGAAATGCTCAAAAACCCTTTTGTGTGAGATCATTTGGATGAGGTAGCAGAACTGCCGCTTGACACGCAAGATTGTAAATAGCCGAGAATGGCTTGCGTGATGTGGGAAAGTGTGTGTGTGTGTGTGTGTGTGTTGTTTCTGGATTGCAGACAGGTATGCAGGTAGGGCTGGTGATGACAGAGACTTGAAAGGTGTTGGAACTCCCCTTAATGTCTGTGTGCGAGCAGGTAAAATTGAGGGGGCTTAAACAGCTGCCACCGGAGGGGGGTTGAAGAGTCGTGGCAGGGCAGCACATCCTCAAGAGACGACCGTTAAATGTTCTCACGTGAGGTGTTAAAGGGAGGAGCAGTGCCTGGGCTTAAATGACAGAGAAACAGAGAGAGAAATGCCTTTAATGTTCCCTCGTTCGGGACACTAAACAGACACAAAAGACACAGCAAACAAGACACGTCACAAGCCAGGGCGGAAATACCCACGCTGGCCACCCAAACTTGATTGAGCCCAGACGTTGTACTCATTAGCTTGTTTTTGTGTTTGTCGGCAAGATGCGACACATTCGGTACACCCCGTTGTGGGCGGTTACTGAAAAGTAATAGTCTGTTAATGTTACATGTTAAATAATTAAAAAGGAAAGGGAAGAACGGCCATTAGTTTAGTACGACAATATGTCGAGCGCTTCTTTATTGATTCAGGTGGGGGTTTCATTGAATTTAATCAGCAGGAAGTCTGCTGTCAGTAGTCTCGGGGCTCTCTGTGTGTTCTAGAACAGAATGACTATTCATCCCATTGTTCTCCAACTGCTCTCACTGCAGCTCTCTGTTTGTAAAGGGACCGTAAACTCAAAGGCCTCAGGAGGCCCCAGGTTCAAACGGACTGGTGCATTGAACAAATTTAGCCTCTAGAGGGCACCGTTGTTCCATCAAGATTTAGTTTGCAGCTGTTTATAGTACTACTGTTGTGCTACCTAAAGAAAATTATTTCATTAAATTTAAAATAATAAATAAAAATTGTGTATATATATATATATATATATATATATATATATGTAAATTTACGTTTATTAATGTTTTGTTTATTACAAATATTTATTATTTATTTCTCACACATCTACTTTTAAAAATATGTATTTAAGTTTACATTTCTATTTTTCTTGTTTAATATTTATTTTAAAATGTTTACAAAAATATTATTTATCATAATGTTCATTATTTCATACATCAAAATTTTCCCCCTTTATTTTCATATAGTTTTTAAGTTTTCTTTGCAAAGAAAAAAAATTACACTGGAAACAAGAGACATAAATTCATCAACAATTTTTTTGGTGGGAATTATGACATATATTGCAAAATATTATTGACTAGTTTATAATTTTCTGCCTTTTCCTACTGATACTTCCAAACTAGCTTTCTTACAGTTTAGACAATATCTACAGTAGCCAGTTTGATCATTTTACCATAACTAGATTAAAAAGTTGAAATAATAAAAAGGCAGGATTTGGGCAATATTTATTTCTTTAGTGCTTATTTGTGTAACTAAAACAATATTACAATATAAAAACAGTCTGTTAAAGCTTATTTAGTCCTGTTATGAAAAGTTTTGGTATTTGTGCCTTTGTGTTGATCACGCTGGGAAAAAAAATGATGCTTCAACTGTTGCTGATTGTTGTTTTCAAGTAATATTGTCATGAAACATTCTATCAACACTTCTAATTCGTTCTCCACTCACAGGCAGTGTACAGCCTGGCCAATGTTGCATGCAAGTGTCACGGAGTCTCCGGCTCGTGCAGCCTGAAAACCTGTTGGCTCCAGCTGGCTGACTTCCGTCGTGTGGGAGAGTTCCTGAAAGAAAAATACGACAGCGGCGCCGCCATGCGCATCAACCGACGAGGCAAGCTGGAGCTGGTCAACAACCGCTTTAACCCCCCGACGAGTGAGGACCTGGTGTACATCGACCCCAGCCCGGACTACTGCCTGCGTAACGAGACCACCGGCTCTCTGGGCACCCAGGGGCGCCTGTGCAACAAGACCTCGGAGGGCATGGACGGCTGCGAGCTCATGTGCTGCGGTCGTGGTTATGACCAGTTCAAGACCTACAAACACGAGCGCTGCCACTGCAAGTTCCACTGGTGTTGCTACGTCAAGTGCAAGCGCTGCACTTCGCTTGTAGACCAGTTCGTGTGCAAATAGCAGCCTAGGGACGGGACAGACGCCCTGGAGAGGCACTGAGCAATTAGCGGGATAAAAACGGGACCCTTAACGGACCCAGAGGGGGAACTTAGAGATAATTAAATGTAAAATGATATATTAAATAGCAACAAATTAAAGTATATAAATAATTGTACGTGTGCCATTGATAGTAATTTAATGACCTTTTCTGACTCAAGAATCAAAAGTTGGACGTCATTGATGAAAAGGAGGCACCGGTGTGATGTATTCTGGCTCAAGCTGTTGTTCTCTTGATATTTGAATCCAGAGAGGCACAAACTCTGCTTGTTCTAAAAAGAAGAGCCTACAAACTCTTCAGAGACTCTAAAAAGGTAGAGATGCAGAAAGAGGACGGAGAACAACGGCTCATCGCCCATCGCCTTTTCCAGACCTTCAGTCCGCCGCTGATTCACAAACACACTCCACCTTGCCGATATCAGAGCTCTTAAGAACCTTGAGTCAGAGAATTGTGGAATTATTGGACATGTGTTCCATGATGTCATAAAGATCCTTGAGATATGACAAGAACAGAATGCTGCCTGTTACCTGTCACACAAGCATTTCTGCTAATAAACCTGGAGAGACGTGTGAAAGATGAAACCATGAATGAGTAGGAACGTTTTTACCTGAATTGGAGCAACACACACACACACAACTCCTTTTATTCTTCCAAAATCATTTGATTTGTATCCTTCGTATAGGCTTTCAAAAGTCTGTAATGAACCTTTGATGCATTTCAGGGGCTTCCGTACATCATATCTTGGAATTACATCTAATCTAGAGCAGAGAATATTGTGTTGGTTCTGTCACTGTCTTTGTCATTGTTGGTTGAAACGGTTCAAAGCCTCACGGTAATGAATGTGTGTCTGGTAAATGAAAATAGGGGGGAAAAATCAAGGCTACATAAGGACTGCAAAAACTATTATTGTAACCAAATACTAGTGGTTCAGATTATATTTTTATTCATTCTTTCTCATTTTATACATCATATGTATTGTTCTGATTACTATTTGTTGATAAAGAAGCTTTTAACTGGGGATTTATATGCTAGCAGAGAAGATATTACTGGCCACTGGATGGAAGGGGCAATCATAGCCGAACTCTCCCACTGTCAGGCCGCGGAACAAGACAATAAGATCTTTTGTTCATTCATGAGTGTTTTGGAGGAAAACTACAGTTGTAAATAACAGTCAGTCAGTCATATATGCCATTAACACTTACAATCTCTTTGACATGTCACTCCACAGTTTGTTTGCTGCCCTGTGATCATATGCTTGTTGTGTGTATTCTCCCTCATTCAAACCAGTAATATTAAAAATATGAATAGTGATTATTATTACCTACTCTGCTGCTTTACTTTTGTTTAACACTCTGTGTTTGTTCATGTTGCTTTGTGGAATGACTTCATCACATTTATGACCAGGGTCATAGATTGCATAAAGTTATATGTGATATGTGCATAAGTCATTAAAATGCTGCTCATATGATCTATTCTATTGATACGGTCAAGCATTTTTGGTATCATGCATTATCTATGTGTTGTAAATGAAATATATTGTAACCTTTACACTCACTCGATCTTTTTCATATAGGCAGTGATCACGTGATTAGTTCGAGTAGTGCCATATTAAATTTTTTTTACAGTAATGAAAATGAGGCTGTGAGGGATAATGGATTGTCGGTAATGAATGTGTGTCTGGTAAATGAAAATAGGGGGGAAAAATCAAGGCTACATAAGGACTGCAAAAACTATTATTGTAACCAAATACTAGTGGTTCAGATTATATTTTTATTCATTCTTTCTCATTTTATACATCATATGTATTGTTCTGATTATTATTTTTTGATAAAGAAGCTTTTTTCTGGGGATTTATATGCTAGCAGAGAAGATATTACTGGCCACTGGATGGATCGGGCGATCATAGCCGAGCTCTCCCACTGTCAGGCCACAGAACAAGACAATAAGATCTTTTGTTCATTCATGAGTGTTTTGGAGGAAAACTACACTTGTAAATAACAGTCAGTCAGTCATATATGCCATTAACACTTACAATCTCTTTGACATGTCACTCCACAGTTTGTTTGCTGCCCTGTGATCATATGCTTGTTGTGTGTATTCTCCCTCATTCAAACCAGTAATATTAAAAATATGAATAGTGATTATTATTACCTACTCTGCTGCTTTACTTTTGTTTAACACTCTGTGTTTGTTCATGTTGCTTTGTGGAATGACTTCATCACATTTATGACCAGGGTTATAGATTGCATAAAGTTATATGTGATATGTGCATAAGTCATTAAAATGCTGCTCATATGATCTATTCTATTGATACGGTCAAGCATTTTTGGTATCATGCATTATCTATGTGTTGTAAATGAAATATATTGTAACCTTTACACTCACTCGATATTTTTCATATAGGCAGTGATCACGTGATTAGTTCGAGTAGTGCCATATTAATTTTTTTTTTACAGTAATGAAAATGAGGCTGTGAGGGATAATGGATTGTACTGCCATTTAACAGCATACTGATTATTCAGCTGATGAAACATCAGTTTTAAAAGTTGTGAAAGTGATGTGATCTAGGACCTTTATACAGTGTGTGCCTTTGTAAAGACTCTGAGTCTATCCATCACAGCTTTGTTTTCAATATGGTCTATGTTGCTCAACTTGTGTTTTTTGGAGAAGTTGCAGGGTGGGGTGGCCTTGCTTTTCTTTATACCTAACCAAACACAAACATCTCAATTCAGATTCCAGTTCCTTGGTTCACACCCTCTTTTTCACTGGTCCGGACTAGTTTCACTGATGCCAATTCTCTACAGTTCCTATCGCATTATTAGTAGATCAGCTGACTGGTATTGTTATGCAATTAGTAGACACTGGCACAAACTGTACTGTGTGAACCGCATGCAGGTTGGGAGAGTTTCCAATGAATACTTAATGAAAGTATTGACAGGTCTTTCTGCATGCCCTCCTCTAACATCTGTTTTGCAAATAGGTGAGTGCCTTTTTTTTTTTTGGATGGTTATCAGCCTCATTTAATGTTGGGCCAGAACACAGAGGCTTATGTTCCACTTATCTGGATTCTCATTGGGTTTGAATGGTCAAATGACCATGACCTGAGCTGGTTTAGACTGGAAATGCTCCAGAAAGCTCATATAGGCCAAAACACCACAGGAAACATATAACCACATACAGCCAGAGACCACTATCGAAACCAGCGCTTACATTTTGCATTTTTCCTGCTTCGTTGGACTGAATAAATATTAATTTTAGATTTCCTGAATGTGGTGTAACCTACATACTCACCTTTATACAGACTTAAGTCTTGATTAGTGATAATGGTCAAAGCCTAGGTATAATTTCTCTGTAAAGATCATAGTACATTTTCTCTCTAACCTTTGTCATCGATTACATCATTTGTAAATTAAGTAGGCTACTTTCCAACATTGCACAACTAAAGATGTTAGCATTGATATCATATTTGAATAACTGATAGGGAGGGATGTCACTGCATATCCCCACTTTCTGTGATGCAAATATTTGAATCTGTGTAATAGATCGCACAAAATCATAGCCTTCAAATCGATTCATCACAGGCCCATGACAGCATGGTTGTTATCATTATATGCATTGGGGGGACTCAGTGTCTACCTCCGTATTCACAATAGCAGTCGATCAACATGGGTTGTTAAATGATAGATTCGTAAACTTTTTACATTTGCCCCCTCTTAATCTTATCAATATTTGGTTGCATCTTTATATGGCAATATCTTAAAGGTTCTGAGTAATGTTTTTTACTAAATGAACATAAGTAATTAAAATAGTTCATATTTAAACATAAACTAACATTATATGTATAAATATACTGTGCCTGTGAACAAAAAGAAACAAAAAACATGAAAGAAAACATGAATCCCACAAACAAACAAGTCAGCCGCGGACTACAAATCCCGTCAAACCCGTTATTCTGAAAGTCGATCACGTGACCTATCCGCGCATTCTGATTGGCCACGCTGCCCTCACGCGAGGGGCGTCACACTTGACACTCAACGATATCCAGAAAATCCAGGCAGGTCGAGCCAGTCAATCAGTCCATCGGATCCGCAGCGCCGCTCCGACGATAGCGCACTCTTGAAGGACAACCGCTCGCCGCTTACGGAGACAGGTGAGCAAAAACCCGACACTCCCATGTAGTCGATAGAGTATGTTTTAGGGTGTTTCTGACTGTATTTCTGCGCTAATGAAGTTGTTTGTGTCAGTATTGCTAGCTGACTAGCTCCCGTTGCTACGCTGCATGAAACGGTCCGTCTGTTGTTTTCCAGCTCTTTCTTAAAGGGAATTTGATTTTAAACGGTTTAACAGATCGGTATATTATCATAGACGCGTCTAAAAGCTTCTGACGAACGTGATGAACCCGAAGAATAAAAGTACGTGGTCTAAACCCTCTGTATTAGTCACTTTCAGACTTGTTTGTGCCGGTCTCTGAGTGGTGAGTGTGCCACTGATGGGGCTTTTGTTTGAAGTTTTCCTCCTGTCGTCTATTTTCCCAAGTTTTTATGCTCGTAAAGGGTTCTGGCCAAGTTTCACGTTGTTACAAGAGAGATGACAATAGAAGATGCTGTTTTTGTTTGGGTTGTAAACAAAACGGCTTCAATTTAAAGGAACAGCTCACACAAATGAAACATTCTGTCATCATTTACTTTTGTCTTCCCTAAAACACAAAAAGAGATGTTAGGCAGGATGGTAACTAAAGTCACCATTCACTTTTGGTTCATGTTTTTTCCAACACGAAGAAAGTAAAGGGTGACTGATGCTGTCATCATGCATAACATTTCCATTTGTGTTTTAAGGAAGACAGAAAGTCATATAAGTTTGGAACAACATGAGGGTGAGTAAATGATGATGGATGAGCAAACCTTTTAAAAAACAGGATTGAACTGGTAGAGGGCAAGCAAAAAGGTGTTTTTAGTATAGTGGCAGTGGAAAAAAATAGTAAGCATTCCAGTTGAAGTCTATGTTAAGCAAGTGTGAAAGTGGTTGACAGCTTGCTGTTGATCTTATTGACTTGTCATCACTACAGGCATTTCTGACCTAGTTTTCGTTTGCCTCCCATGAGTACACAAGTTTCTTCTCATTGTTTACATTGAGGCTGAATTCCCTCAGTCCATTTCATTATTTCAGATCCACTTCAATGTCATATTGCAGCCCAGTCATATGCTGGTTGTAGTGTTGTCACGGTACCAAAATTTCAGTATTCGGTACCAATACCAGTGAAAATCCACGGTTCTCAGTAACAAAGCAAAACACAAAAACATGCTAATTAAAAAATTGGACTATACTTTAATTTAATCCAAACTGTGCACATATCTAATTTTAAAGGGCTTTTAAAACCTTCTAGAGTAATTCAGCAAAGAGTATCAACTAAGTTAGCTTAAAAAAAAAAAAGCCCAGAATTGCTTTTCTGACTGATATGACACAAACAATGTTAACCATTTGTACATTCTCTAACACGCATATTTTAGATTCACAATTCATTTAAAAGCCTCTGGTGTATAAAAATAGTAAATGTCATCATGTCCTCCTGTTTTTTTTGTTTTTTTTTTACCCTAATAAAAGTTATTGGAGCATTAAATAGTTAATAAAGAAACTTAATTCTAATGCTCATTATATCGCGCTTATGCTAATGATTAACTATTCTAATAATAGCAATGTTCATTTCAATCCGACATTCAAATTAAAATATTGAATAATATTCATAACAGAACGCAGTTTCCCACAGACTTGCACTTTATTTGTGGCATATATATGCAAATTCATTCTCTGCCAGCAGGAGGCAGAGCGGGAGAGAGCGAGGTTTCCCCAGTAACGGCTGTAATCAAATAAGCACTGCGCTCTTTAATTTAATCCAAACTGTGCACATATCTAATTTTAAAGGGCTTTTAAAACCTTCTAGAGTAATTCAGCAAAGAGTATCAACTAAGTTAGCTTAAAAAAAAAAAAGCCCAGAATTGCTTTTCTGACTGATATGACACAAACAATGTTAACCATTTGTACATTCTCTAACACGCATATTTTAGATTCACAATTCATTTAAAAGCCTCTGGTGTATAAAAATAGTAAATGTCATCATGTCCTCCTGTTTTTTTTGTTTTTTTTTTACCCTAATAAAAGTTATTGGAGCATTAAATAGTTAATAAAGAAACTTAATTCTAATGCTCATTATATCGCGCTTATGCTAATGATTAACTATTCTAATAATAGCAATGTTCATTTCAATCCGACATTCAAATTAAAATATTGAATAATATTCATAACAGAACGCAGTTTCCCACAGACTTGCACTTTATTTGTGGCATATATATGCAAATTCATTCTCTGCCAGCAGGAGGCAGAGCGGGAGAGAGCGAGGTTTCCC